GCCTGGGTGTACACTGGAAAAACCCTTGAAAAACAACTGTGTCACCTCCTCTTCCTTAGGCACCCATTTGGGTTTAGCAGTGGCTTAGCAAATAGATACCAGACCTCACAAGGTGATAGAGGACAATCTGAGTGAGGCACTGATGCCTGTGGTCCAGACAGGAGCTACCTCTGAAGAACTCTTGGGGATAGGTAAGGGTCAATTTTACTTATCTCCTTTGATTACATGGAGATTTTCCATGTAAGCCCCTCTGGAGCACCTCTGCTATAAAGACAGCCTGGAAGAGCTGGGATTGTTTATCCTGGGAAAGACAAGACTTCAAGGAGACTTCTTTTGGGCTTCCAGTACTTAAAGAGGGATCATAAGAAAGAAGGAGAGGGACTTTTTACAAGGGCAGACAGCAACAGGACAAGGACAAATGGTTTTAAACTAAAATACGAGAGATTTAGGTTAAATCTTAGGAAGAAGTTCTTTACATGGAAGGTGGTGAGGCGCTGGAATGCCCAGAGAAGCAATGGATGCCCCTTCCCTGGAAGCGTTCAAAGGCTTTCAGCAAATTGGTCCAGATTCCTTCCAACTCAAACCATTCCATGATTCTAGAATGCTATGATTTTAAGAAAATTTCAGGCAGAGACAATGTGTTAGGAGTTGTCCAAACCAAGCATCTTGAGAGAGGTGAAGCTGCTGCAGCTTCATGATGACAGGTCCAACCAGCAGTGAAGCTGCACTTGTATTCCCAGTAGGGACATGCATGTATACATATGTATCAAATGGACTGGCCCATGCATCTTTGCAGTCACAGCACCACAGACACAGGGACCTTCAGCCCCTGGTCCAACCCTAGAGGCTCTCACTGAGACCCCCAGAGGCAGGATAGAATCCCTTACATGGGAAAATTACTAGAAACTGGGTTTAGTGAGAGGCCAAGACAGTCAGATGCAGGTGCAATGCAATGGTCCCTCAGGCAAAATAAGGAACTATGTAGACACCACTTGGCATTCAGTAACAATTCTCATGTATTTTGAGGGGATCTCACTTTCATTTTGGCATATTCATGTCTCATTCTGTTGAGTTTTGAGCTTTTTTCTGAAGGCCAGACTCTGCCCTTCCCCTCAACACAGATTCCAGGGAGTTGTGCCAAAGAACACGCAGTAGGAAACCAACGCAAATGGTGAAACGAGACATGACTTTGTAGCCCAACACTGGAAAATCCCAAGACAGGAGGAAGCCACTGCTTCTGCTTCCTCTTCCTGATACTGCTGAAGGTTTTTCACTTGTTGACTCTTCAAATGAATAAACAGCTCCCATAGCTAGTGCTGGAGCCCAGGACTTTCTAGTCCTTCCACTAGCTGACTTGGAAAGTAATTTATTGAAAGTTTCATGGAAAACAACTATATGTCCCCTCTGACTCTCTGTCCAACTCAGTATCCTCTTGGTCACATTAAAATTTGGCCATAGACCCTTTCTAGAAATTTGCAAGGTGGAAGAACCTCTCTGTGAAAGCCACAGGACACGATTTCCTTATGTTCCTGTCTCAGCCACTGGACACATCTGATTAATCTGCATCTCTTCTTTGCCTGTATGTATTTAGACATGTCTATGATGCCTTTGGATAATAAATAAATTTTAAAAAAAATAGAAGAAATAAAAAATTAACCACTTTTTAGAAAAAAAAAAGAAATTAAGCTATTAAATCAGGAACTATATAAACCAGCCTACAGAAAAACTGGAGAAATATTTACAGGTATGACTAGTTTAAAAACTGAGTTAGAGAAGTTAAGCAGCATTTCACAAATTCTAGGATTATGTGAGTTGTAGCAAAGTCTTTGGAGACGTACCCAGCACATAAAATTCCTTTTGTACACGTCTGAAAATCAACATAGATTAGGAATAATCAATAATTAGGTTTCCTTGGACTATGAACCATGAATATGGAAGTTGAATTTGTTTACATCTACCACAGCTGTACCCTTTGAGGAATTATTGTCCTAGTCATTTTGAATCCCAGCACATGAATGTTGCTTCTGCTTTTGAAGTGTCCTGTATTAGCTTCAGTCAATCACTCCAGGCAAGCTATGTGACTCACATTGGAAGGTATAAAGTAATTTCCTTTTCCCAGGAATGATGTATGCTCTGTTGAACCTAGATATAACTAGGAGGTGCTACACTACAGTGAATGTAGAATTGCACACTAAGTACATTATTTTTCATGCCATTTGAGAAACTAAGTGAAGAATTTTCCAGCATAATTAAAATAATGATGTATATTTGTATTTTTCCCTCTCACACTAACATTTACTGTTTCCCTTTTAAGGCTCCAAGGAAGCTCCTTACCTCCAGTAAGGACAGAAACATCAAAACCATCCTGAGAGATGTCCAACCTGTACCTGTCAGGTTCCAGAGTTAGCAAATACACAGCCACTTCAGGCCAAATACTCTGGTGCTTAGCTGTCCTTGCAGTCAGAATTGTTTTCCTCAGTTTAGAGGTCTACAACATAGGTTCCCACATGTGTCCATGATATTTAAACCAAATACAGTCAATGAAGTATAGACAGCAATTCATCTCATTTTAAAGTCCATATCTTATGGTCAGTTGAATCACTCTCTAGAATTCATAGTCCAAAATGGGAATTTAGAGACCTAAATAACTTACAGATATCTACGCAAAAAAAAAAAAACCAACCAACAAACAAACAAAAAACCAAACAAAACCCCAAACAAACAAACAAAAAAACAAACAACCAAAACTTAAAGGATATTTCACCTCATTAATCATTTACCTGTACTTGAGACACCCACCAGGCCTGGCTGCTATGACACAGAATCTATAGAGACATGCATCCTTCTAGGGCAGCTGGAGGTCAGGTGTGATTCCCTAAGGCATCACAAATAACACCAATGCTCAGGCAGCAGAATCTCAAACCTCATGTCTTAACTTAGTCGCTGTTGCTTAAGAGCACTCTAAAGTCTTGGAGACTAGACACTGCTTCCTTTTTACTAAAACTTTCATATATTTATCAGCCTTTATCATGGCTCCCCTCATTACTCCTTCTATGAAAATCCCTGTTGTGTTTCATGGAGTTTTTTTCTCCCAGAGCTCAGCTCTCTCTACCTGAATCCAAACACACTGTTGCAGTTGAGACCTTATCTATGCTAACAAGAGTATAAATATCACCTACCATACATATACTGCATTCCAGTAGCATGACTGATTTTTGTTAATATCAGTAAAAAAATGTTAAATAATTTTAGCACTCAGTTCTGCTAACATCGTAAGATTGTTTTAGATAGAACTTTTAGGTAACTGATAACAGTCCTCCTGAAGTTATGCTGTTGATTATTCCTAGATAAGTTCTTTGTACTCTCTTTTGTATTTTGTTATTACATATTAGAACATATTATTCTGTAGTCTGTTAAGTATTAAATAATATGTATCATCTATTTGGTTCATTATCATACAGTATATTATGTTGCTGTTACATGTTTTTTCTTATTATTTCTACAGTTTATCAAGACTTTGTGCCATAAATAGTCTAAATTCATAATTCAAGAAAACCTACGAAATGTAGCTCCACCTTTTATCTGAAAAACACTTCCTTATTTTTAAACACACTACAAAATTGCCCAAAAGAGAAGATTAGGACAAGATAAGGACAGTAACATAAATTAAACAGATTGCGTCACTGCCTGGTGATGAAACCATTATGCATCAGTTTTACTAATCAGAGGATATTATACAGCATGAGTCAGGCTGTCACTGATTTACTATTAGCTATATAAACAAAGCTGAGAAATGTGTCCGGTAGCTCAGGAAAGAAACTGAGGCAGAGAACCTTGGACGAAGATGAAGACTCTTTCACTTCTTCTGTCGTTATATGGAGCAATCTCCTCTGCTTTTCCTGTGGCCCCAGAAGCAGAAGATGAAGGAAAAACCCTAGAGCTTGTAGAGGTAAATATTTTTTCAGTGCATTTCAAAGGGTAGTCTTTGGGATAATTATAATTGTAACTCACAGAATATTGCTTGAAATTAAAGATTTACCATTTTGCAGAGGTTCCAAGAGAAAGCTTTCCCAATCAATCTAGAAAATGTGTGAAAATTATATGGAAATTTTTTACCCAAAAGTCATCTGAATATTGCATATTTCACTTTTGGTGTTTCCAGTAAAACAACAAAACTTCTGAAGCATGAGTTCTAGCAGCAAGTTCTGTGGCTCTGCAGAAACAGTCAAATTCAGTAACAATATGAGTTTCCGAATGTGCTTTGAAACTTGTAATATGACTGGTCTTAATAACATAAAGAAGGAAACTTGCTTGAAGTAGACGTGTTGCAATGTTTGGCTGAATAGATCTTTCATGGAATATTTTGGAAAAAGGGACATCTATGAGAAATACAGCACTCACATAGACACAACACTATTTGTTGTAGACAAAAGTGTTGAAATTTAGTAGAGACCTGAGTTTCTACTATCATATTTTGGAACTAAAAATAAAAGGCATGATTTGCCAAGTCTGACTCTCTGTTAGTAATCACCTGCTTTCGTGGGAGACCTGGTTGTTTGGAGTATCACTGCCAATCTTGATTTCCTTGAATGAGACCAGATATAAGCTTCCTCATAAATTTTGCTGTTAGAGGGACATGATAAATAATGTGGGAGTATTTATTAATAGTAAATATGAGATTTTCAAGACATTTCTTCATATATTCCATCAGTGAAACAAGAAATTCAGAAAACTATAGCAAAATGGTAAATTATTCCTGACTCCTCACACCACTTCCTGGAGAAAATAGGTTGTTTTTACTCCTGGTAAACACAGGGCAAGTCGACATTGGAATAGTTCATGATTACTCAGAAAATTTTAGTGTGACCCAAGACAGTACTGATATGACACAATGCTCTTCTTTTTTTAAAACTCTGATTCAGAGTTATCTAGAGAACTTCTATGACCTTCAAAGGGATAGAAATCTTCATTTAAGAAGCCATGGTGAAAATCTCCTTGCTGCAAAGCTCAAGGAAATGCAGTCATTCTTTGGACTACGAGTGACTGGGAAACCTGATCTTGACACTTTGGAGATGATGAAAAAACCCAGATGTGGTTTACCTGATATAGGGCAATATGTGTTCACAGCAGGGAATCCCAAATGGAAAAGAAATAATCTGACATACAGGTAATATTTCCTAATCTGAATCAAAAAGATCTTATTCAAAAAATCTAGCACCCCAACTTTGGGGTGCGGGGGGTCTGAAGTAATTATACTATGGCATATATGGACATATAGAGTGATTGATTTCTAGAAGACACACTCTGGAAGGCAGTATCTAAACTGAAGCCATTATTGATTTTCATTCACAAAAGATACGTCTAAGATTTTTTACTTTTTCACAAGTTATTATTTTTCAGCTAAAATGCTGAAGTTCAGGGAAAATGCTGAAATTTCAATGAAATTCTTAACAATATATTATTATGTGTTGGTTTTTCTTTGAAGAATTTTGAATTACACCCCAAAGATGACAAAAGCTGATGTAGATGAAGCAATCCGAAAAGCTATCAGTGTCTGGAGCAACGTAACACCACTGACATTCCAAAGGGTTGAGGACAAAGAAGCAGATATAATGATTTCTTTTGCTTATAGAGGTAACAATGATAACTTTGCGTATTCAATAGCCATCTGCAGTCATAGGAGCAATTTAGGATTTTAACTGATTTTTTATATCTTCATTATAGACCACCGTGACAATTCTCCTTTTGATGGTCCTAATGGGCAGCTGGCTCATGCATTCCAGCCTGGTGAAGGTATTGGTGGGGATGTGCATATTGATGAGGAGGAAGCTTGGACAAAAGATGGAAGAGGTAAGGATTTCGTAACTGGATTCATTTATATAGTTTTACCCTGGATGTTCTTAGCTCAGGCAATGCTTATTATTTCATGAACTTGACTACAGGCAGAGAAGTGAGCAAAAGAGACAGAATGTGGCCTTTTTTTTTTAGGTATTACCTTGCAGAAAATAGGGGTTTAGGTTACAATCGTTTATAATGGCATATAAACATTTAGTTCATAATGGTTTATAATAATTTTAAAGTCAGCATTTTAAAATACCTTTTTTTCAGATGAAAGTCAAAACTTGCATACAAGTAGATCTGATGGGAGATTTCTCTAGGCAAATCCTTTCTCTTTCTTAACCTAGCACTTCAAAGTTTGGTGCTAACTAGGGTGGTCCAAGTATCACCAAAACTGTAATCTCAGTGTTTGTTTTGAAGTCATTTTTCTGTTGGATCACTGGCATGATCCTTGATCTGAGCAGTTTATGTGACAGCAGGAAAAACAGTTTGTGTTTAAGACACAAGAACACTAGAGAAAGGAAAATGAGACCACAATTAAGGTCAGACATTCTTTAGTTACTCTTCTGTTACAATATTTTTAAATTGTGATGTTGATAGGATTACTTACAATCTTTCTTGTACTTTTAGTGTATTTTAGGAGGAAGCGTAAGTGCTCCCTATTTAGTCGACCGTGCTAAATACTGAAATAGATTTTACCTTCTTTGTATGATTTTTATCCCACAGGCTACAATTTGTTCATTGTTGTTGCCCATGAGCTTGGCCATTCACTGGGTCTGTCTCATTCAAATGATCCTGGAGCACTGATGTATCCAGCTTACTCCTACACAGACCCCAATGAATTCCTTCTTCCCCAGGATGACATTGATGGCATTCAAGCCATATATGGTAAGAAAAAAAATATATTTATTTAATATTTCTACTTGAGAGGCTGATAAATGATAAAAGGAATGTATCAAAAATACATTTATTCCACCAAAATGAGATGTTTAACAGCTACTGAAAAGCAGATAACGAAAGAGAGAAAATTCCTGGAAGCTAACTTCAGCTGAAGTCCATTTCTGCAAAAAACTAATTTTGGAACTGATGAACGCAACCGATTTTACCAACATTAAAATCCTGTGTGTCATGACACTTACTTTAAAATTGTATCCCTTTTCATTCTCTGTAAAAAGAGTTCTTTGTGTCCTCACAGAACTTCTGAGCACTGTCTTTATATTTCTCCACACTAAACAATAAACATTCATCCTACAGGGCAGTCTAATGCTGCTGTGCAGCCAACAGGACCCGTAACTCCAGAAGCCTGTGACCCAAATTTGACATTTGATTCTATTGTTACCCTACGTGGAGAAATATTCTTCTTCAAGGGCAGGTAACAACAACAAGCATATATATTGCCCCTTTAAAAGGTTCAGTAATTTAAAAAATTCCACTAGGGGAAAAACTATCCTTCTGGAATCTAGTACAAAGAGAAGCACTAGAAAACTACTGTGTATTTACAGAAGCAAGAGTTCTCAAATCATTAGTCCTAAGAGCCCTAGTTGACAAGAGCAGGGACAGTGACAAGGGCTTGTAGGTTGTCTTCCAGCTATTCTACTACTGTGGCCACTGTGACAGACTTGTCTCTGAACTCCATTCAAGTAATGAGCAAGAGCGTTCATATGGCCCTCAGCAATGTGTCTGTGGGTCCCACACTCATCCGTGGGTCCCACACTCATCCTCAGTTAAGGAGCAGTGGCAGAACTGAAAGCATGGCAAGGTAGAAAGAGGTTTGTTAGGTGGTTACTGAACCTATGTCTGAGCCTTCTTGATATACAAAGAAATAGAAGACCTTGTATTGAACTTGCCTGATTTTTAGCATTTAACTGAGGTGCTAAAATAAAGAATTCTGTTGCTGTAGATTACCTTTATGTTCAGTGGAGGGGGAGTATTCACACCCAAGTACTCATCTCTCCTCTGTTACACTCCAGGAGCTGTAATAATTATTTTGCATTTATGATAGGAGTGGAATTATTTTATCACATAAATTTTGTTTAAAACAGATATATGCTGCGCAAACATCCTGCGAGGGTAGAGACTGAGCTCAATTTTATCTCACTGTTCTGGCCAACATTACCATCAGGAATTCAAGCTGCATACGAAAACATTGAAAAGGATGAAATTTTACTTTTTAAAGGTAATGGAATCTGAAATTCTCTACTTTTTCTGACCAGTTACTTCCTGCTCCTTTGCAAACTACGCAATTACAGAAGTCAAAGTGTTTTTTAAGGAAGTGAAACAGAGAATCTTACAATTCTGCAAGTAATTAAACCAGAGAATCATACTGCTGTAAGGGATCTCCAGAGGTCATAAACCTGAAAACTTGCCCCTCTGTTATACCTAATGCTCTGAAAAACAAGACATGAAAACAGCTACCCTTCCTCAGGTCTAGTTCTCTTCAGGTAACAGTACTTCACTTTGTGCAGAAGGATTTTTTGTGAATTCAATTGACAAATACAGGCCTTTTCACACTACTGTTACTGGTATGTTTGTTACATTTTGTGATATTTTTGGAAAAAAAACCTACCAAAAAAAATGTTAGAGGAAAAGAGTACTGTGAGAGGATAATTGTTCACTGAATTAAAAATCAGTCCTTTTTGTTAAAGGTCTCAAACACCCCTTAAATATCTCAAATAACTTTATTATATACATATTTAGGTACATGATATATTACCACATATAAATATGTTCATTGCACTTAAAATTACCAAAGCACTCTAATTAGATATATATGCTTTTCTTAATAGTTTAAACTGATGCATACTGACTAGTTTTCAAAATATTATATGATTCTCTAATCAAATAGTATATTGCAGGAATTTAATAAACTCAATAACCTAATCCAGTGTCAGTGGATTAACTGATCAAGCTCCAGCCTTCTCCAAGTTGTTATCCAGACAATTACTTTATATTCATTTCAAAAAAAATCTAGGGAAAGTTCTATCCATACACCTTATGATTCTAATGTTTTACTCCCAAAAACAAAAGATATTTCTGTTGTCTTCATGATGTAGTCCCAGTGTGAGAATTAGAAAAATTTTCGAAAGTAGAAAACTGAGAGGAATAATACTGACATCTAGACACATTATTTTCTGCACATCTATAACACAAGTAAATGCTGCTTATGAATAGCAAAACCAAATTAAATTTTCTTATATTTTTCAGAGGATAAATATTGGGTTGTCAGGGGATATGATGTTGCACGTGGCTATCCCAAACCAATCTACCACTTGGGGTTCCCAAAGACTGTTAAAAGAGTTAATGCAGCTTACAGTGATGAAACCACAGGAAAAACATACTTCTTTGTAGCTAACAGATACTGGAGGTAAGATTTTATGTTCGTTTACCAGAAGGCCTATTTTCATTTGTCCCTGGGGATTAATGTATTACTATAAAATCCAAGTGTAATGATGTTTAAAAAAGGTATATTCCACAAATTTAAATGTGATTTTCTAAAGCTTAAAAAAAACTAAGCATTTGCTAGAAAATGTCAACTTTACTATAGATTTTTTTTTTTTTTTTTGCTAAACATTGGATTCCTGTAGCAGGAATGTAATTGCTTGGAACTGAGTGAAGCAGCTGCTCAATTAAAGAGTGGTTTTCTATAAATTACTCACTTTTTCTCTATGACGGTGCTGCTGTTCCATGCAAATATATCCACTTTGAATTCACATTTTAAACAAAATGAATTGCTAATAGAGAGTGTTGTATTAAATTTCTCTATGAAGAAACATTCTCCAAATGTACAATTGGTTGTATTTCTAATTCAAGTACATGACAAATTTCAGAGAGCAACGTTGTTTAAGAAGTGAATCGCTGACACTAATTCAACAATGTTTCAGAACTGTGCTACTGTCTTCTTCTCCAAAGTTTTCTGTTCTGCTTTTATATTGAACTGGATATTCAGTGCCTGGAAATAAAAACTCTTTTATGTGCCAGTGATGGCTAAGGAAGGCTCTGCCAGTCCAGAAATACATTAAAACATTTCTGTGCTGTGTTCCCAAGGTCTCTGAGAACCTTGTTGCAAACTTTGCCATAAGCAGGATTTTCAAATCTCAGGACATTCATAATGTGAGAAACCTAATTTAGTTAATCTTTATAAGGCTTCTTAGTAACAGCAGAGTTGTGTACATGTACGAATTCACTTTTGACTTTCAAAATATTTTCTGCTTCCTCACAAATTATAATGGTGTTTCTTGTTCTAAGATATGATGAAAAGAAAAAATCCATGGATCCTGGTTATCCCAGGAAAATAGTCTCTGACTTTGGAAAAATTGGCAGAGTTGATGCTGCTTTCTGGAAAGATGGTGAGTAAAACATACCTTTAATCTGTGTTTACTTAAATATTTGGGCTTCTGTAGATAGAATAATTTTAAAAAGTTTTCAGAAAGCTGTCATTAACCTTAATGAGAAGGAAATGAAAAATATCAAGTATATATGGACAGCTTATAATGGACATGATTTATTTTTCCAAAATACTGAAAAAAGTCACCTCTGAAATATAATTGGATTAAATTTTACTTCTAGGCTATGTCTACTTCTTCCATGGAACAACTCAGTTCCAGTTTGATCCTCGTGCCAAACGGATTGTTGGACAAATGGAGAGCATCAGCTGGTTTAACTGTTAATTGCAATATTTTTTCATATGCACACCATATGTTTTTATGTCCTGCATTTTTCAGCATTACCTGACTACGGGGTCAGAATGGATTTCTGTTCAAATTCTGTAGAAGTATACTATTAACAATTATTTATTTTAAACTAAATACATTTATATAATTTATGGCAATTTCACCTGTTACTGTTAAGTTCCCAAATAAATTATGTTTCTCATATAATTGTGTCCTTTATGTCTAATTTGCCCTAATGCTCAAGAGCCAAGTCTAACTTCCAAACACTAAAAAAATGTATTCTGGCAGGAAATGGCAAATCTTTTTTCCCCAAAGACAGAGAAAGGGGCAGACAGCTGTCTCTGAATTTCATCAACCCACACAAACCCTGGTTAAAACCTGATGGGCAATTAGACCAGTTGGAGCTCATTATCATCAGTGTACAAGTCTAATTCCACCCTCAGTTCCTCTCTCCCCAACTTCCACTCTTAGCCTACTCTCTGGGGTGTATGTCTTTGCAGCTGTAGGCAGAGGGGTGTGATGTGTGTGGGGTGTGTGTTCTTATATTTTTGGGTTTAGAAACTGGTTTCAAGGCTGGAATTGTAGATTAGAAAGGACCCCTGAGATCACTGAAGCAAGTCTCTTGCTATCACAGGTAGTCACTTCATATAACGAACACATAAACCTCTTTAATCAGGGACCTTTCAAGTGCTTACTACTCCAGGAGTTAGTAAATCCCTCCTAATTTCAGTGGGTAAAAGAATAAAAAATTTGCTTAAAAAATGAAAATTCTTGGCCAAAAATACTTCAGATGAAAAAATTCATGAAAAAGACGACTTCCAGCTTAACCATATTTTTTGCAAATACCCTCAATTAAAATGGTTTTTGAAGGGTTATCCACTTTCTCTTTAATCTTTGTAGCTCAGCTGATAACAACAAAAGACATATGACCAACACAAAATGTGTTATCTTGTATAACACCTGCATTATTCAACATGTTTCAGAAGAAGGTTTGAGATTACTGTAATAGAAGTAATTATATTTGAGAAAAGAATGTGCAACCTCATAAAAATATATGTTTCATTTTTTTCATTACTTATCTGTCTGTATTTGAAACCTATTAAATTATATCCTTCATAAATAAAGAACAGACTAGGTAGTTCTTATGTTTAATAAATTTGGGGGTAAAAGTTAATCTAAATACTATTCAAAGATAATAAATTGTATAGTTGAAAATTAACTTGATTATATACTTTATAACACCTAAGAAAATATTATAAAATAATAAAAATAAAAATAAATTACAGCAAATCAAAGGCTTTAATTAAAAGTCAACTTATGTGAATCCTGTTCTCACAAGGTATTGTAGGTACCAATTCTCTAATTTCAAACCTTTGTAGCAATGCTATTTAAATGTATTTTCTTAAGTAAGCCAGTACTGCTGAACTAACAATGACAATTAAACCAAAAATTGATTGGGAAGTATATAAATCTAAATAGATCATGTTGGTATTTTTAGCAAGGAAGATTTACAAACATAACACAAGGTTTACAAGGAAAGATAATATTTCTTAATAGAAAAATTATATATTAAAAATTAAAAACTGGGAGCACATGTCCCCTACAAATATGATGTAGAAACAGAAGATCTCAAGGCAATGCCAAAAGAGCTCCTCAGATTTAGAGCAGAATGTTAATCCCTCTCTAGAATAAAGAAGTAGTGTGTAGTCATGGGGCAGAGAAATGTTAAGTGGGAGACAAGGGGTACGGAAGTGGTTATGTTTTAGAGGAAAGAAAGATAAAGAGTAATTTACAAACCACGGAAGATAAAGAAGTTAAAAAGAGGATGGAGATTCTAATGGCATATTTTTAGCCATGCCTTTTGGTATCCTGTGAAGTTCTTATTTTTAGTTGCCAGACACATTTTTGAAATCGCTTTGCGTTATTTCCCAATTGCAGGAAGACCAAGAGCTCAAAATGAAGTGATGTCTTTGTGAGAAATGTTACCTGTGCTTATGTGAGTGAATATTTCCTCTGCCTTCATGAGAGTGGTGATTGCTCCATCCCAGCCACACCATTAGGAGGAGGGCACCTCTGGTACCAGTGACTCTTGTCTGCCTTCAGGCACATACTTTCAGTAATTTGGAATCCAGGTGTTGTTTCCAACTCAGTCCACACAATCACCTACCATTTTTTTACTCCTTTTTAATAAGTTTACAGTCCTATTTGTAATTACTGTACTATGTTAAAGCACTGTACCACTCCCTACTGTCTTGTTACAGGTTTAGTGTGTAATCATAGCCCCTATAATTACTATCTGAGACAGATTTGCCCAGACAGGAATTCAATTCCCTAAATGTGTTTAGTGCATTTGAGGTGCTTTAGGGTATCCAAGCAACCCATGCAGGTATGAAACAGGATTTCTGGGAGATCATCACTTACCGAAGTCCCACAGAGCCTGTACTGTCTCTAGGGACTTATTCTCAGGTTGTTGAATCCTGCTCTCATAGGCTGTAGTCTTTGCTAAAGGTTTGTCAAAGGTCAGAGAGATTATCTGACTTTTGTCCCATGTTTTTCATTCAGCTTGAATAATGATTCAAGTTTGTTGACTCCATGGAAGGATTGAGCCTGAAAAGTAGTGGCTCGGATACCTGAACAGTTCTCTAGTGCCATTAAGGTACCTGAAGGTTTCCAGTTGGCTTCCAACCACCAGTCTAGAAGCCACACGTCCCCTCTAGGTTCTGGATCACAGACACCAGACCTGTGTCAATGTCTTAGGTTCACTAGACTGTCTCAAAAGCACAACAAATCACATTTTAGGCAGCTTAATTGCTGCCCAAGTGTTTTCATCTGATCAACTTAGGTTGTCACCACAGTCAATGGTGTCTGTTAAAACATTTGGTGAGCTCCTGAGAGCATCCTACTAAGGTTTACTTCCTACATGTGGTGAGATGAAATGCTCTCTAAATGCCATTTGACCACATTGATTAGATTTCTGTTGATATAATGCAAGCTTAGACAGTTAACTCACAGACACCCACATTGTGAACAATTAGGAATGTTGAATCCCTGCTGGTATTTGTTAAGATCACCACAATGCAGCAGTATTGCTGACTCCTGTGATGCTCTGTATAATGTCACCTGGTACTACTGATGTGATGAGGACAGGCAGTGACCTCTCTGGATTAAAACATAGATCACATTGCTGCTGTCTGGATAAAACCAATTCTAAGGGGAGAAAAGAAGTCATGATGCAGGTCAATATCCACCAGCTCTAACAAATGTCAAAGATAAGCATTAGGAAACTACAGCCAGAAGTTGCCTATACAAAGCATTAGGAAACCGTAACCAGAAGCAACTTATACAGCTTCTTCTTTTCCCAGGCCTCAAGACCAGCTATAGGGGTATTTGTGAAACATTGCTTGCAAAAAAAACATATTCAGGTCTTTTTCCCACGGGCAGCGGGAACTGGCTGCTATGTAGGTGGCCAAGTTGCAAAACCTTGGTACCGCTTTGTGTGATGTAGACCTCCATCACCTGTCACTCAAATGTCTTCTGAGCAAACACTAATGTTAGTTGAAACTAGGAAATGTGGACTAAATTAGTTGTTTCGATGAAGACAGAGGTCAGATCATCCTATTCTAAGGTAGTTGGTTGAATCACTCTCCAGAGATATGTATTTCTCTGTTTTCTATAGAAGAATGCTTAACTAATAAATGCATAAAGTTAGATGCAGTTGATCTTAACCTAGCTGCTCTCATTGTCTCTATCCTTCTACTGCTACATGGCAGACAAGCTGTGGGGATCTGATAGCCAGCCACAGTGGGTAGAAAGATAATCACTTCTCCCAGTTCACATCAAATCTGCTCGTAGTGTTTGATTTTTATATAAAATAAAATTAGTATCAGCCAAAACATGTTTTTTCAAAAATGTGTTCTAGTGCCATTGGAAAATGCATTTGATGCAAAAGCCACTGAGCAGGTTTTTTTTGTCTTTCATGGCGTATGCATGTACACGGTCAGATGGCAGCACCATGGTCATTCCTTCTAGATTTGAAACCTTTGAGACAAACAAACATATCCATTAGAAAACATAAGACAGGTCTCAAAAAAGAAAGTTTGTACTTCTGAAAAAATGCACACATCATTTCCAGTATCGGCTCAGTTGAGCTCTCTATCTCAGAACAACTGTTGTTATAGGTTGTACTTCAGTTACAGAACTGAATGGGATCCATACAATGCAATGATAATAAAAACAAATCAAGGGAAGGGTTTGATTATTTTTTTATTGTAGCTGAGAAATGCCATTGACAAATAAGTTTAACTAACGAGGCTATTAAGATGGAAAAATCTATCATTAACACCTCCATCTGGAGAAAAATTGGCTGCAAGTGACAGTAAAAAAGCCAAAAACAGGGAAGAAAGGATTTTCTGAAAAAGCCACCGTCTGACATGAAGGCATTTCTTACAACTGTTTTGTAAAAGTTGGGTACATGCTGTCAGAGCTCCTCTGAGGTGCCAAACACCTTCAGCTCCCTTTGCTGCCAGCGGATGAGGAAGATGCTTGGCTGGCACAGGGTGAAATCCCATAATCTGTCACAGCTTGTGTGACTTTTGAAACTTCCCTTATTCTGAATTACTTAAGACAGGAAATAATCATATCCCCTGCGGCTAATGTGGTTAAACTGAAAAAAAACTTTTGTGATGAAAGAACTTTGTGATAGATAAAAGATATATAGATAGATAGACAGATAGATAGATAGATAGATAGATACATGCATACATACATACATACATACATATGTGCAGACAGAGATACAAGATTATTCACATTTTTTAGGCTGGATTTATAAGGTAAAATCTTTTTCATTTACTTATATCTTGGATTCCACTGTATAATTTAAAGGAAACACCCCTTTTCAAAGGGTTGCAGGGAAGAGGTGGGGAGTTATTTTGCATTTTCATCCATTTTCCAAAACACTTTATGAATCAATTTTAAAAGAAAATTTTCTGCTTACA